TAAAATAAAAATAAAAAATAGACCTTACTGGCAAACGGACTGCCAGTCTCATTACATCTTGAGGGAATCCTTCCAATGGGTCAAGCAACTCATTTTCCACAAGCCTTCTCTCTCCCTCGAGATCAGAGTCCATCAATGGTAAGGCACTGATGTAACTCAACTGCTTATATAGTAATACCTAATACCCACCCTCAACCAACACCCTCTATTCTGTGCATGACTTCTCTTTAAAACCCACATCAACCCTGCCAACTGGATTAATTGAAAGCACCACAGGTCTTGATGAATCCTCAAGAAAGGATCTATTTGTCTTATTCACTGCCTATTCTTTTATCTTGATACCATACTACCTCTGTACGTTAGTCATAACTGAGTGACACACTTCATCTCACTGGAGCAAACCCAGAAGGCAGACTAGTTTTGTACTGATCAAACATTTGACTAAAATTTATAAGCAAAGACTCCTTTTTTTTTTCCTTTTTAAGTTTTCTGAGACAGATTTTACGTAGCCCAGAATGGCCTCAACTGTGGTCCTCCTGTCTCGGAACTGCTGGTGTGTCACTACACCCAGCCCATAAGCAAAGAATCCTAATTACTAGTGTAGAAAGATTCTAAAAAGCTGTGTATGCCACCCATGTAATGAATTATGGAAACATGTGTATGTGTATACAACATGAATTAGGTTTTATCTGACTACACTTGATTCTATTCAGACATTTTTCAGCCAAAAAATCTTAGAGGCTAGTGGCCAGGCGTGGTGGCATACACCTGTAATCCCAGCACTCGGGAGGCTGAGGAAGGAGGACCATTGCGAGTTCGAGACCAGCCTGGGCTACAAAGTGAGCTCAAGGCCAGACTGAATTGCATAGCGAGACTCTGTCGCAAAAAAAAAAATCTTAAGAGGCTGGTTCCGCAAGAGAAATTGATATTGATTCTCTCAGTTTAAGAAGCGCCTGGACAACATATGTATTTTTAAAATTGTATCACAAGTGTCTACATTCTCTATTACCTTTATAAATAACATGCATTTTATGAGAAAAAAATGAAGTTTTTTTTTTTCTATTTCTACTTTGTCAAATATACATAGAGCTCTAATCCTAGAACTCTGGGAAGCTAAAGTAGGAGGATCTGAAGTTAAAGGCCAGCCTGGGCAACGCAGTGGGACTCTGTCTCAAAACTGCGGGGAGAAGGGGTTCAGTGTGAAGGCCTTGTGTTCAGTCTCTAGTACCACAAAAAAAGATAAACACACACACAGAAACGCGAAAGTGTCTGAGGAGGCCTCTAAAAGACAGTATCAGAGACCACCAAATTCACAAATCCTTATGTAAGACAAATTTCTGAGATTAGCAATTATTTGTGTTAAATTTTCTATTAGTGTACAAAAGGAAAATATCAGTTTGTATATGATGTCAAAATAGGCGTAGCAATAAATCTGGCTTGACATGAATGTGGCTATTTTCCCAGGGAGATTTTAAAAAACACTTAAATTAACCCAAGATGGAAGTAAAGCTGTAATTTGTCAATTTGATTTGTTCTAAATACTGAATATCTGCAAGTAAATGTTAGTTTTCTTTCTTTCCAATTCAGAAACAAGTTTTTTTCATTACCCAGGAAGATCCAAATGCCTGAACTGAGAATTTGGGGCAGGGGACTGAGACAGGGTGTCACTATATAGCCCAGGCTGGCCATGAACTTGTAGTGATTTTCCTGCCACAGCCTCCCAATTGCTGGGTTAAAAGCACGCACTACCACACCCAATCTAGAATGCTATTATTCCTTAACCCATTAACAGGCTTGCTAAAACCTAAATTTTTTTTCAGGATAAAAAGTTCAGGTTTAGCCGGGTGTGGTGGCACACGCCTGTAATCCCAGCATTTGGGAAGCCTGAGGCAGGAGGATCCTTGGGAGTTGAGACCAGCCTGGGTTACAAAGTGAGCAAGGCCACCCTGAACTGCATATCAAGACCCTGTCTCAAAAAGACAAAAAAAAAAAAGTTCAGGTTTTTCTTCTGATATTACACCCACCACATTTAATTTCATAAATGGAAAAACACCATGATTTACAATACCATGTTATCATAAACAATAATGCACAAAACAGAGATTTCCCTGTTACTTGAAACACTATGCTAAGCCTATATAAATTTTATTGCTTCTTTATTGATTGTTATTTTACTGTTTTCTTTGCAGCAGCACTGGAGACCTAAGGCCAAATCTGTAATTAAATCTCATTTTCTATCGTTGCGAGTTTGAGACCAGCCTGGGCTACAAAGTGAGCTCAAGGCCAGCCTGAACTGCATATGGAGACCCTGTCTCAAAAATACCCCCCTAAATAAATAAATAAATAAATAAATAAATAAATCTCATTTTCTAGAAAGGACTTCTATACTCTAAGAACCAACCTCTCTTTTTTATTACTATATTGTGATTTGGAATTATATTTTTATCTCCGTACTATCCTCCCCTGCAGCTGAGTTACAATTTATATGTCACAGAATCTGTCCAGCACTCCAGTGCTTCTACAAGAATGACTTAACCCTGAAATTCTTGCTTGGTAATTCCAAAACCAATGTAAAATGCTATAAAACATAATATAAACTTGAACCAAAATATCACATAACATTTAATAATTGCAAATATATTTATTACAATTTACAGATTAGTTAAGTTATATACACAAATAGAATTTGAGCTATAAAATCTCAATGAACTGGTTTGAACAGGGTGACTTAAAGTTGCTAGTCCCCTAACTTTACCTTCCTTAAATTATAAAAAATAAAATCTGGTAGTTTTGATTTCAAGTTACAGAGGAGGAGGTGTTATCACATTTCATCACTCAGAAATGCAAATTTCACCTGTTTGTACAATCCCTTTCCCATGCTACACTGACACTTAAAGCACCATTACAGGACTTTATTATATAAAGCATTTACTTAAAACCTCCCAGGATTTTCTTTTAAAGATTGACAGGGGCTGTGGGCTAAGGAGTGGATGTCACTTGTACAGCTAGAGTTGGGATGAGTGACAATTTTTTTCCTCTTCAGACCAACTGTAAAAAAATCCCTTCTGTCCTCATCACTGTCTGATCACTTCTAAAGGAGAGTGGTATATAGGGAAGAAGCCCTAACCAAGGTTTTACTCATTAGGCTGTGACAGTGGATTCCCAAGGGAGCAATTTTCACAAGTTCAGTGAATATGAAGATGTTCCATTATTTTACAATACGCAGAGGTGCTGGATTTCAGAAACACAAAATACAACCTAAGTCTCTGAAACAAAGCAGTATGCGTCCAGCTTGAAAAGAATGCCTCTGCACTGTCACATAGCTTTTCACAAGGCAAACAGTGCCTGCTTTCCAACTGATGCAGCTGAGGCTGGGAACCAGACTGCTCCCACGGTATTAAACCACTCTGGAAGGGGAACCTCTAACGGGACCGAAGTGGAGATGCACAAAACACATAGAATAAGGGCTCTGCAAAAATCTGACCAATTGTTACAGTGCTGCACTCTCAGCGTATCAATGAATGTATCTAACACTGGAGGCAGTTCTTAGAGCAGACCAAATAAGATAGTGACCAGGTAGATTATAAACTGAGGTAGTAACCTGCCAGCACAACTGATGAAAAATGCATCCTCACACTGAATTAAGTTCAAAACTAAGCGGTCACATACTCTAATGCTTTCCACTGGGAGACACATGGAGGAAAAACAGACTGTTCAAGAGCTGGCTAACATTCCTTCAACCTAACTAACAGATACACACCATGTAAACTCTAGCTACATAAACCACCCACAACCAGTCGATGTGAAGACTTCAATTCAGAAGTAAACTTTGGGCTAAAAATATTAAGACTTTCTAGTTGTTAAATCTATTGTTTCCTCTTTCATGAAAGTATGAGCTTTGCCATGTCTTTTCTCATTATTAAAATAGTAGAACACAATAAGCCCAGACATTAACTGAAATTAGTACTTTACATTTCAAATTTGAAAATCCAGAACTGCCCATTCCAAGTTTATAATGTCACCTGACAGGTTTTAAAAGTGACAGTGCTGAGGCATATTAATAATACTGGTTTTCTGTTGAGCATATACAACAAAACCAAATTACTCTGACATGTCTCCTATCTTCCTTTTAGGAAAATTCTATGCTTTTGAGTTTAAAAAACAAATATCCATGATATAATTATTACTTTTCTAGAGTATTGTATAATTTCTACCCATTGAAAGATACAAAAAACTACATTCACTCAGGAACTACAATAATATATTCAGAACCCTCTCCAAAGAACAGTTTGCACAGAAATCAAATATATTTGATATTTCAAATTTGGCAGAGATGCAGTTTCCCCAAACTAGCAGAGAGTACTGCGCATGTGTATGTTGTGACAGCCCTTGGAAATCTAAGTAGAACTTAACGTAAAAAAAGAAATTCACCATATACTTTCAACAAAAATCAAACTTAAAAAGTGACACAAGATAATGTACTTTAAGTGTATAACATATACACAGTTATATTTTTAGCCCTAAGGTGGACAGGCTAAATCACTGAAATAAAAAATTGTAGAAAAACATAAAAGGCCACTAATCTCAGAATGTTGGGGGGAGCCAAAGTTTTTACATAAATACACATTTAAATTAGAACTGAAAATGGGCCGTAAGCCCTATAAATATCGTTCCCAAGAAAACAAGCTTTGAAAGTGCAAAATTAACAACTCAAAAGGTCCCCTTTCATCTCAAGCAAGGAAAGGACATTTAAAACCACATCTAACTAAAAATCAAATATGAGAAGATTAAAAGTCACACATTCTTCATTGTGAGGGCTAGCTTCAAACCTATAGTTTCCATGTGGGATAATGTTACCAAAAAATACTAAACTAGAGGTCACTGGATTTAAGTTAAATTTCCTCTAATAAAAAGAAGTCGAAGGACAGCTGCCAATATTCACTTTTTTTGATACCGGGAATTGAACTTAGGACCTCGTGCTTGCCAGGCAGGCACTGTGCTGTTGAGCTACATCTCCGGCCCCTAATATTCACTTTCAAAAGAAACCTCTCAAGAAAGAGGTAGTGTATGCTAGGGTGACAGGCTTTCGATTCAACATTGCTGGACAACATTAAATTCTTTGAAGCATATTTTCTGAAGTCTATTAAACATTCTTTCTCTGTATTCAAATGTCAAGCAATATCCAATAGCATCTTCTGTTTCTTGAATTCGTTTCCGGAACCTGCATGCATCCCTTGCAAATTCTTCCCACGGTCCTTTGCGATCCTCATCACCACTTATATAATACTCAGTAACTTCTTCAACAAAAGTTACCTGTAAAGACAAAAACTAATTTTAATAGCTCTCTAAGATCTTAGAATTACCATTGAGAAGTTACATACAAGTTCTCTATGATGAATGTGATCATTATATATACCCAAAATGTACCAATAAAATCTGATTGGAAAAAGGAAAAAATAATTATCATTAGGTCTCAATAGCCCTTTATGCTACTAATTCTTCTTTAACACCTAGTATCTTATAGGAACCTTTGTTCCCAGCTGTATCTGAAATTTGAAAAAAGGGTCTAAGCAGATGGTAGTTACACAAAACAGTGAACAACTGCCCTAAAACTTACATAATTTTGTTTTGTTTTGCGGTACCGGGAATCAAACTCATGACCTGAGCTTGCCAGGCAGGCGCTGTGCCGCTGAGCTAAATCCCCAGCCCCCATAATTATCTTTCATACAGCCACACATATACACAAATCTTTCCAATGCCAGACCTTAGTTTTTAGTGCTAATTTTTAGTACTAATTTTAGTGCTAATTTAATGAATTCAGGTGGTCAACAAAAATTTTTTACTGTTAATCCTTGTTATGCTTTAATACTTAGAGAAGTATAGTTCTGTGATATTTTCCCCCAAAACAACAAAGTATTTCAGAAAATAACCACTATATCCTTGGAAGCCAATGTTTTTTACCATAGCGAAGGCCTTAACAGTATTTTTATTTCTTTTTTTTTTTCCAGTACCGGGAATCGAACTCATGACCTTGCACTTGCCAGGCAGGCACTGTGCTGCGGAGCTAAATCCTCAGTCCCCTTTTTTGTCTTTTTGACAAAAGCCTCCCAAGTATTGGGGTAATATTTTTATTTCTACTCTTCCTTTTTCCTTTAAAAAACTTTGTACACTTCAGTCCTTTCCAATTTTTGAATCACCGATTATTATATTGTTACTTTTATAATCAGAATATAAGAGAAAATTACTTGGTAAATAAGGTAAAGTATCTTTAAGGCTGTGTAACAAGAGACTTTACAGTTAAAATTTAAAAGCTTTAAAAATATGAATGGTGTGTAGGGTTTGTAATTCTACTGTTTTTGCTACTCTCACACATGTTGAGAATTATCAATAAAACATACTGTGAGTTTAGAATTTTTGACAGGTAAGTATATGTATTTGTTATAAGCAACATACATAAACATGTATAATTGTTTTATATTTATTTTTGTAGCACCCATGTTGGGGCAAGGTCCTGAGTTCAATTCCCAATACCAAAAAAAAATGTAGCATATAAAGGCTGGGCATGGTGGCACAGGCCTGTAATCCCAGCACTCGGGAGGGGAGCCTCAGGCAGGAGGATCGTTGCAAGTTTGAGACCAGCCTGGGCTACAAAGTGAGCTCCAGGTCAGCCTGAACTGCATAGCGAGACCCTATCTTAAAAAGACATAAATAAATAAATAACATATAAAATAAACACAGTAACAAGTTAAAAAAAATTTTTTTAAAGCTTTGTATTCAATATGTTATCACTATACGTAGAGATTGGGAATCCCTTAGCTGAAACATTTGGGACCAGATTTCGAAGTGTTTTAGAATTTGGCATATTTGCACTAGCTTTACTGACGGAGCACTCTTAATCTGAAAATCTGAAATCCAAAATGCTCCATAATACAAAATTTTTGAGCAACATGCTGGCACTCAAAGTTCAGATTCTCAATTTTCTATTATCATGTACACGAAATTCTGACTATTATACAAGATAACATGTAAGGAGTAAAAATCTCTACTTATAATTAGTAACCTCTATTTAATCCTTACTTAATTTCTAACAAAGGTATCAAAGTAAGCTATCAAACTCAAAAAGTAAAGAATTGCTTTAAACTATGTTTAACAGTTACATCAGCTAACCCCACTGAGGTCCTACTTTCATTCCCTTTACATCAGGCCAAGGAATACCCCTGAGGATAATTAACAGGATGTAACACCTTACAAGATATTGCATTCTAGTCGTTACTCGTTCATCGTGTCACTAAAATAAATAATAACAAGCATTTATATAGTGTTTACCATATACCAAGTTCTTTTCAAAGAGCTTTACAATTTTTATCGCATTTAGTCCTCAAGTCAAATCTGTTAGGTGTAAACTATTACCCCCCATTGTACAGATAAAAAAGGAAGGTTAACTGACATGTCCAAAATCACACAGCAGCTAAGAGATGCAATCAGGATTCAAACACTAAGTCTGTCTGGCTCTACAATCTGCACTGTTTTGCCAGGATATGAAGTATTTTGAGCTCCTAGATTGGAAGGCCTCACTCTAAGAATTACGCACTACCCATTTCTCACAGACCTAAAGAATGGCAGGTAGTTAAAAGCCTGTCAAATAATTTAGACATACATCATAATCTTTTCTAACTTTTGCTTCTAGTTCAATCGATAGTCTCACATCCACTTCACTTACTTCATTGTACTCAGTCAGCTAAAATGAGACATGAGACTGGCCTGAGTCATTCCAACGCTATTCACCCATCTCATTTAAATTTTGTGTAACACGGAGCTATGGATGTAGTAGTGGTAGAGCAAGTGCTGAGTATACACATGGCTCTGGATTCAATCCTCAGCACCAGACACCCACAAAAACAAAAACACAATAAATCATACAATACTTTACAAGAGATACTATTCTCATCAGGTAAGTAGCTCGATAGAGGCCAAGAGCGTCAAGCAACTTCTCAGGTATAGTGGTCACCCCAATATCTTGGCCCTAACTACTGAGTTCAGAGCACAGGTCTCCAGATGCCAAGCGCTGATCCCACTGTCCAACCTCGGCTCTGGCCTACTCACTCAAGTAGGTCATTTTGTCAGGGTCCCCTAAAAAGAATAATACGTTCTTTTATAATATCATATCTTGTACCAAGTGTGAGCTACAATTTAATTTTTAATGTGACAGATTAAGACTGATGTCTTGTTACCACCACTGAAAAAGGTTTTCTATCCTAGGAATACTTTCAAAGTTTTAAATTGGTCATTTGAGACCAACAGATTATGGTACTATGAATTTAAATCTCCCTCATGCTGCAGAATCTGAGGTCAGTAGTAACTCACTACTCTCATCTTCCCAAACAAAGGCACAGCAAACTAAAGAAACTTCCTCTACAATACTTAGACCCCCTGTGTTTCCGGGGGTGTTTCTTTTCAATTAATAATTTCAGCTGAGAAAAGCCAAATTTAAAGGACTTCCCAAATCAGGTGAAGCTGACAATATCATGAAAGAGTAAAACACCTCATGAGGTTTTAAGACTAGTTGACGAGGAAGCAACTACTCAAGATAAACCAAATAAGTGACCACCATTGTTTACTTCCATTATTAACCTGTTAAATGGCCACTATAGCTAGTTATTTTCATTCTCTTAAAAAAGAAAATACCACTTTCTGTATTGTTTTTAAAACAAAAACAATGGTCAATCAAACCAAGTAAGGACAAAAAGTATATGTTGCGAACCACTATATAAACAGTAAACGACTTGCTATTTGATATATATTCTTTTGTTCTAGTGGACTGGAATAAAAAAAAAGTTGTCAAGCAAATAAAAGATTGAGTATTTGCAAACAAATAACCATTTAAAACCACCTTAAAACTCTATAGCTGTAACAGACATTTCTCCAGCTCTAGAAAAACTAAGTCACAAGTACACAAAGTTTAGTATTTCTGTTCTCTAAAAAATAGCAGATAAGTTGAAACAGCTCAGTCACCAGCCCAAATGAAAATGGCACTTTCCTGCTAAAAGCCATATACTGACATTTTCCTTTTGAACAGGACAGTTCTCTACCTTGAAGGAAGAAGGAGAAATGGACATTTGAACAGTTCTGAATCCACACGTGACCATAGAGAGCTTCCTCAAAAATATGGCAATTATGCCTCCAACAAAGTCATGCTGCTCTATCTAACCGTATCAACACCGAACAAATTATCAGACATGTTAAAAGAAACCAACCTTTTTTCTTTTGATACGCGTGTGTTTTTCTACAATCTCATGCTGTAGCAAATTTGGACATTCTTCTTCTTGGCGCCCTAACAGCTGCAACTTACAAGAAAGTACACTGTGACACTCAGAAACGGCCACCAAGGACTCAGGTGGTCTTTTTGAGTCAAGGCAGTCTTTCAAATCTTTTCCTGATGTTTGAAAGGGAGCCGTAAAATTTAAAAGGTTGTACGGGTCATCAGAATTACAGAAAGAGTTCCACAGCTTGAGACTCTCTGCCTCATCTACACTGGATTCCCAGTCATCTTCCTCCTCAGAATTAGAATCAGAGGTCTCAGAAAAGATTTCAGCCTGGGGAGAATCCTCTAGACCTGAATTGGGAGACAAATCCTTCCCTGAATCAGAAGGTTCTCCAGGAACAATTCTGGGAGCAGTCTGAATTGTTGCTGTGAAGTTTTGGGGATTATAAGGATCTACGCTGTAGAAAGAATTCCAAAGGTGAAGTCCTTCAGAGTCTTGTTCCAGGTCGGATTCTGACAGTGAGCCATCACTATCAAAACCATCATCCTCATCTTCCTCATCCCAACCTTCACCTTCCGAATCAGAACTTGTTTCCAGGTCGCTGGATGCCCCTCCCAGAATATAATCTATCAGTCTGTTACCACAAGCTGGTCTGGCAGAAACGGGAAGGTCATCTTCTATGTCTGAGGAATCAACTACACTGACTTGGTCCTCCGCAGGCTCTTCTTCCGCAGCTATCTCAACAGATGGAACGCTTCCCAAAGGGCCTTGTTTTTCCAGAGCAAGCGGAACCTCCTCGGTCAACAACTGTCTTTTTTCCTCACCTGGCTCCTGGTTGCTTCCAGGCACAGCTCCAGCAGGAGGAACAGACTGTGGTGGGGTATCTGCGCTATGTTTCACATCCACCCGGAGAAGACTGTGTTCCTCCTCCAGGCTGTGGTAGCCATTGTCTTGGTCAGGTGTGGGTAATTCTTGTCCCTTGCCAGTCTGCTGAAGGAATTCCAGCCGTTTCATACGAACATGGTGGATTTCGGGGAGGCCTCCTCTGGAAAGAGGTGGATATCCCTGCCAAGAGGCTGCAGAGATCTCTGCAGGCAGAGGCTGCGAATGACAGCGGTTCTCAGGAAGGCAGCTGTTCTCTGGGGTTTGCGTCTGGAAACCAACTAGCTCGCCCCCGCCCCTTCCAGGGCCGTTCTCACAGCTGAGCTCTAGCCCCGAAAAGCAATCCAGGTAGGAAGGGTGCAGCAGGTAGGAAACCACGCTGAAACCGCCTAAGCGCTGAACGTTGAGAGGCCCAGAGGGCTCGGAGCCAACTTCCCGGTTGCAGAACAGATGGGTTTGCAGGCCGCTCGGCAACAGCTCCATGCCCCACAGCTGCTGCCCCAGGAAAAAGGCAGGGGCTGACGCGTCCAAAGCCCTTCTCTTGGCTTTGAGCCCCAACCCTAGATCAGAGGTCGCACACGGCCAGGGGACCCCCTCCCCCAGCCAATCAAAGGGGCTGGCGACTGAGCTGTCCGAAAGGTCCGGTGGCAGCAAACTCACGGACTTTTTCTGCGCAGTGGGGGCGCCCGCTTCCTCTCGTCCCCTCAGGGCTCTCAGGAGGCTACAGCCCCCGGCGAAATCGAGCCATCTGGTCGGAATCAAGCCACCGAAAAGCTGGCCCCACATCAGCAGCTTCTGGAGCAAGCTGGGGAGCGGGGCGAGGAGCTGGGAAAGGAACCTCGTCCAGGCGCTGGTCTGAGCCTCGGGCTGCGCAGAACAGCGCAGTGTGGGGTCCGCACTGCTCTCGGGGTCAGGCGTCGGGAACTTGGAAGCGCCCGCTCCCGACAGCCAGGAGAGGAAGAAAGGCAGCCGGAACCAGGGGCCCGCCCGAGGGGCGGCGCCTTTCCGAGAACCCTGAGTCCCCGGCTCCATCTCCGGCTCCGAGGATCTCTCGGCAGGGCTGGCGGGGCTCGGAGAGGGAGGCCTACACGACCTCGGCCTTGCCCAGCGGCGGAGTCGGTGCTCTAGGCAGATCCCTGCGCCTGTGGGAGAGCCACACACGGCAGCGGCGTCGGCAGCGCGCGACAGACCACAAAACCGAGAGGTTAGCAGAGGAGGCGAGGGCCGAGGCGAGAGCCATCCTGGAAGAGAAGGAGGCGTCCTAGTCCGTGCAAGACCTCTCCAACATTTATGGGAGCCCTCCCGCGGCGGCAGCGGCGGCCACTTTCCCAGAGATACCGACCGTTCCAAGGCCCGGAACAGCGCGACGCAGGAAGGCTGCGTAGACGAAGAAGTGAAGGTGGATGCGAAGCCCAAAATGGCCGCAGAGCAGGCGCTGAGGCTAGACAACTCTAGAGGTACCGGATGAGACGAAGGACGGCAGGAGTCTACGCCACCAGCAGGGCGTAACCAAACATATTTCGCAAAGCCCCATGGGGCGGGTCTTTCCTCACACTTCCGCGTGGCAGCTGATTGGTCTGCCAGATGTCCCTGTCGGCTTCCTTACTCTTGGTGGAGCAGCTCGCACGCGGAAGGTTGCATCAGCCAGACCTACGCTGTGCGCCTGCGCTAGAGATTAAGTGTGGTCTCCTAGGAAACCGAACCCTCCGCCCTCAGGGTTAAAGGGAAGGGAGTGGAGCTGGGGGCCGGGTGGTGGGGGCAGTGAGCACTTTCTCCTGCTCTTTTAGGGGTCGGGTATACAGGAAGTGTATAGGCTTATTTTAGGTTTATATATCGACGTTGCGGTATTGTTGAGTGCTAAGTAGACCGTCGAGCTGAGAGCTGTATAATACGAGTTGGGTAATGTTGTATAACTGTATGTCTGATATTAAAACAAGAATCATCTGAAGTGAATAATAAAACTGAAAAACTCAAGTAAGAAGTGAATTATGTGTTCCTGTGGCTTCTGCCTTAGGAGTTCTAAATCACTATTTAGCATTGTCTAGGATGGAGGTGTGAGGTTTTTGGGCGATCAACTGATACATGTACCCCATATAAATGAAAACTCAGATGGTGTCTCCTTAATAAGACTATAATTTAGGCGGGGCAAACCCAAGTCACAGAAGGGTTAGTCCCCCAAACTATCCGCTGTCTTTTATGCTTTTCCCAGCAGACAACACATTCAACTCATACTTCTTCAGCAACCTGAACAGGGTCAGACAACCAGTGAGGGAAGCACAGGTGACCATTATCCTTTGAAAAAATTGCCTGTGTTTGATTACGTTTTTAATCGATCGCTCTGAAGTCAAATGACAAGGACAGAAGGAGAGTAGTATTTATTTAATGAAAACTAGGGACACGGAAAAACTCTTTTGAGGGCACAGGAGAAGCCAGCTGGTCTTCCTGAGTCTGTTCAGGGAAAACTTTTCTAGGAAATCAAGAGGTCCTCCATTTGTCTGTTTACCCTTTAACTATCTCATTATCTGTATCTGAAAATACATATTTTCTCAATCCTAAAAACTTTAGAAAAATATATTAGTAATAGTAGTTTTCATGGTAAAAGAGATTCAAATATGCAAATTAATTGCAAGAAGCCATAGTCTTTTTTTTTTTTTTTTTCAGATGGGATCTAGTAAGTAGTTCAGGCTGGCCTGGAATTCATGGTGATCCTTCTGCCTCAGCCTCTTGTGCTGGGATTACAGGCATGCGCCACCACAACAGCATGCCAGGCACATAGTTCCTTTTATTGTAAAGTGGGGCTAATACTGTAATTCTTCTTTCAATGGGCTGGGGAGAGAACTAGGTTCCTAGTGCAGTGCCAGCCCCAGATCGAGCAGGGACATAAACATGAGTTGTTAGCTGTGCTATTCTGCTTGACAGTCTTCTCTTGCTTCCCACAGCCTGCAGAATAAAGGCTCTATTCAGCCTGTCCTCCCACGATGCTCTTCCAGCCTGTTCCTACGCTTCTTTGCTTCTCTTCATGCGTGTTACACTTGAGGACACTGGGCTCGGTGCCCCTGGTTTCATACCATTCCTCATGCTGGTTCTTGGCCAGGAAAGTCGGCACTGTTTTGTGTTACTGACATATTTGTGCTTCAAGATACAGCTCAGGGGCTGGGGATTTAGCTCTGCGGCACAGCGCCTGCCTGGCAAGCGCAACGTTGTGAGTTCGATTGCTGGTACTGGAAAAACAAAAAAGAAACAAAAAAAAAAAATCCAGCTCAAATGTTACTGTAGGCCTGGAGCAGTGGCTGCCCTTCCTGGTCAGAATTCACTGAGCTCTTGCAGCACTTTATGATGTATCCCTGTCAATGTTTGCTCCTGCTGCTCCCTGAGCTCCTGAGGGCTGGATCCTAAATATCTAGTACAGCAGACATCTTTGAGGCTCCTTGTTTGTTTGTTTGTCTGAGACAGGATCTCACTATGTAGTCCAGGCTGGCCTTGAATTCACTATATAGCCCAGACTGGCCTCAGACTCCTTGTGATCCTCCTGCTTCAGCTTCCCAAGTGCTAGGATTACTAATTGTGCACCACCACACCCAGCTCTGAGGCTCCTCTTTTGAAACCACTTTGGAGGATCCTTAGGATAAGACATATTTTTGTCAAAATTTTAGCTTTTATTTCTTTCCCCCCTCATGAATACTAGATGAGTGCTCTACCACTGAGCTGCATCCCTGGACATTTTAATTTTATTTTAAAACAAAAATTCACTGAGTTGTCCAGGCTAGTTCAAATGTGCAGTCCTGGGGCTAGGAATATAGCTCGGTGCACAGCACCTGCCTGACAAGCACAAGGTCCTGAGTTTAATGTGTAGTACCAAAAAAAAAAAAAAAAAAAAAAAAAAAAAAAAAAATGCAATCCTGCCATGCCTGGGATTACAGGCAGGCATCATCATGTTGGGGTGTGTCATCGCCATGTTCACGTTCTCATGAGTGTGTAATGAAGTCTCCTACAGGACACTTGGTATATGATCTGGCAAGAGAGTAAATGTAAAAGCACCTAGATAGGAGATTCCCACTAATTGAGGTTAAGCCAGACACAAAGAAATGGGACTTTTTTTTTGTTTTTGAGACAGAGTCTCTGGTAGTTCAGGCTGGCCTTGAACTCACTATGTAGCCCCACTACACCTGGCTGCTACTCTTGATAAACCTTTTTTATTTTAAAAAATAATTTTTTATTTATTTAAAAAATGCAGCTAGCTGGGAGTGGTGGCGCATGCCTGTAATCCTAGCACTCAGGAGGCTGAGGCAAGAGGATCATTGCAAGTTCGAGATCAGCCTGAGCTACAAAGTGAGTTCAAGGCCAGCCTGAACTGCATCGCGAGACCCTGTCTCAAGAAGATTAAAAAAAAAAAAAAAGCAGCTAGATGTGGTAGCACACATTTGTAATTCCAGCACTCAGGAGGCTGAAGCAGGAGGATAACTGTGAGTTCAAGGCTAGCCAGAACTACAGATTGAGACCCTGTCTCAAAAAAGAAAAAATTATGTTAACATGTGGGGCTTATCATTTTTTAAGTGAATATCTTTTTAATTCCTCAGCTTTCAGTTCTAAAATAGTAATTACCAAGAGATATAACCTGCAAAAACAAAAATTTGGGGAGTCTTCAATTTTTAAATGTGTAAAGGGGTCCTGAGGCCAAAAATAAATAAATAAATAAATAAATAAACAACTGATCTAGTATGCTGACTGACATAAAATAGGTTCCCAGTAATTCACTGGCCAGGCACACACCTGTAACCCCAGCAGGATACTGAGGCAAAAGGACTGAAATTCGAGACCAGCCCAGGTAATTTAGCTAGATCTTATCTTAAAATAAAAAATAAAAGGACTGGGGATGTAACTCAGTGATATAGTGCTGCCTAGCATGTGTGAGGCCCAGGGTTCAATCCCCAGTACCAAATAATAATAACAATAATAATAATAATACTTGTTGAATGAATGGAAAAGTAATATGTTAAAATAATAGCAGCTCCCTTATGGCCAAGCCTGTTGCATTCCACTCAGCTTTTTCACTGAATGACAGCATATGCCCCTAAAGGCAATTTCTTAAAACTTCCTTGGATGGGTTTCCTTGTCCCATCTCATCACTGGATATAATTTTTATTTTTCCTTACCTTAGAAGTTGTTTTAGATGCCAGGCACTAGCCGAGCATGGTGGTGCACACTTGTAATCCCAGCACTTAGGAGGCTGAGGCAGGAGAATCGTAGTGAGTTCAAGACCAGCCTGGTCTACAAAGTGAGCTCATGGCTGGCCTGAACTGCACAGCGAGACCCTGTCTCAAAAAGACAAAAAAAAAAAAAAAAAAGAGGCCAGGCGTGGGGACGCACACCTATAATAGGAGGCTGAGGCAGGAGGATCACTCTGAGTTCAAGGACAGCCCAAACTACACAGTGAGACCCTATCTCAAAGAAAAAAAAGTTGTTCTAAAGGGAAAACAAAAAAGCATTTGCAGCTCTGAGAATCTGTGACTTTCTCAAGGCCAGCCTGAACTGCATAGAAAGACTCTGGCTCAAAAAAGACCAAAAAAAAGAAAAAAAAAAAAGAGAACCTGTGACTTTGCTGGTCAGTGTCATTTGTAGATGAAGGGTCAATCGGCCACCCCAGCCTGCTTTAGCTAGGAGTGGAGGGAGCGCAGCTTTGCGCACGGAGCCGGCAGTGTGTTGCCATGGCTGTGTGCAATCTGGAAAAGACAAGAAGTCCTTGGACCGGCGATCTGACTGGCACTTTGGCAGCAGATAATTAAAACCTTGGTTCAGTGTGTTTGTTTAAAAAGATTTTGCCAGGCCTTAGGTAAAAAGTACATAGCTTTTAACTGTTTTCTAGAGTTGGCACTGCTTCTAAAATCTGATCTCCAAGTGTCCCAAGCTCGGAATGCCACCTCCTGCCTTCCCAGCTTACTGCCCAGTGTCACTGTTCAGCTCCTTAAGCACTCTGAGGCCACAAACCATTGCCATGCCCACGTCTTCTGTCACATGTCACCTCCTTCACTTCCTTCCTTGAGCCGGTATTAG